TTTCTTTCCTTTTCTTTTTCTTTCCTTTTCTTTCCTTTTCCTTTCCTTTTTTTTTATTTGATCCTATTCGTACAACATGGCTGCTAGAAAACCTTCCTAGGGCTTTTAATAAAATATATTGAGATGCTTAATTATGATTGTAATCATTGTTGAGTGTGATCAGTCAGTGTTTATTTGTAATTGTGCCTGTTGCTGATTTGTTAAGCAGTACTGCGCAAGATTAGTTAAGAAAATATTCGATCAATCAAATATTTAATATGAATCAGGATACAATAGGATATCATACGAAGTAAAAGAAAGATAGACCTTTTTACCGATACGGCGACCATCTTGAATTCTATTGTTTTGTAATCAAGACATTATGGGATGCCGAGGGGGCAACTATTGGAAAATTTATAGACTGCACAGCTGTCAGGGTGTCTTCATATAACTTTACTCTTTTCAATTGAGGTACGTCTATAAAGCAACTGGATTTGCTGTTGCGTAGATAGAACAATATGCGAAACACCAAGACTTCAAATTATACGTAACCCCGTTTCTCTATGCATTATAAATTTTCTACGTTTGCCTCCATAATTCAAGATTCGTCACCTTACATTACACCTTATACTAAGTCTACTGACTATTATGTTGATCAATAGATCTAAACATTTGCTTCAAAGAAAGTAAGTATAAAAAATAAAATAAGATAGCAATCTGACTACACATTGATGCATGCAAAGACATTATTTTTGCAATAGCATTTTCACGGTCACTAAAAATAGATATAATAAAGCCTTGTGGGATCGTAATTCGGTCAAACGTGCAAACGATCAAATGTTTCGATTACGTGGAAACGAAGAATACCAACAGTCGAGAAACCATAAATTGGAAGCAAGAAGACTGACAAACCATTGTAGGAGCATATTAGCATGGGTGCTGGGCCTGGCTTGTCCGCATTTCAATCCCACGATGTATAATTGTCAAGTTATCCTTGGAAAATGCTAGTGAGATCATTCATTACCTTATTGATGATCTTCCCGACCGTAGTGACCACGAAACAAGAGCTCCAAGTCGAGGTTGTACTCGATAAATAGGCAGTAAAATTAATGTATAAATCAATGTATAAACCACCAAAATGATTATCTTAGCTTAAATGCAGTTTCAGATAGACAAAATTCTGAAAACAAAATTTACTTTGGAAATATTCAGGGTAAAGTAGAAAAGAGTATGCAGGGACGGATCCAGGGGAAGAAATTTCTCAGTATATCGTTAGTAACAGTCCCCCCCCCCCCCCCCTTCCTCGAATTCCTGGTGAAACTTTTATAATGGACACCTTTTTCGGTTTTTATTCATTTTTAGCGTCTACAGATGAGCGAAGATCACCAGCGATTTCTTCAAGAAAACATTCGTCATTTTAAAAACGATTTCAATGCTACTGAGCTGTTAGACAAACTGCCTTGTTTGACTGATGAGCAGAAAAAAGATATAGCATACAATGAAAATAACTACCTTCCTTCACAAGCGGTAGAAACCCTAGTGGAACACTTAAAAGAACACGTCGAAGGTTTCTCTCAGTTCATAAGTGCCCTACGCAAAGCAGGCCTCGGTAGCGTAGCGGTACTACTACATGGCGATTCTGGTGAGTTTTAACCAAAACTGTGGAGAAACATCAAGCAATGCATTTTACTTTCTTGTTCAATGGATTCCTTTATCTTGTGTGTAATTTTTTTCCCCATTCNCCCCCCCCCCCCCCCCTTTCCTAAAATTCCTGGTAAAACCAATGTAATAGTCACTGCCTTGAAAATTGCCTGGATACGCCCCTGATACGATATTTTTGGTGTTGAAAATAAGTTTGAGTTTTTTTCTTTCGTGATAACTGACATGGAGTGAAATGCCGGCAAAGTTTGTTTACATCATCGAGCACTAAATTGACTTCCCTTAATTTCAGTTTTAGATAACTTCTGTAAATAAAATGAATTTACTTCGTTGGAAACTTTAAATTACCTTACGTATACCTTAGGTAAAAAGTAAAAGAATTAAAAATGAATATTATATTTGTATACTACACCCTATATAGGTAAAAATGTACGTGAGAGCCGAGTTCTTAAGCTTTACCCCACAGTACGCCCTACATTGGCTTTTGGGGGACCCCCACAGTACGGCCTAAGTTGGCTTTATGGGGACCCTTACAGTAATTATCAACCATCCGCAGATTAATGGAATCAATATTAGAATATTGGTACTTGATAATGTATTCAAAATTACCTTAGTGAACTCAAACAATGGGGCCCATCATTGATAACAACCTCAACTTAGAGCTACTGTCTGGCGACTTCGGGAATGGTCTGTTTTTTAGTTCTAAATCTTAAAGTTAAATTAGTACCATGCGTTTTTGATGATTATGTTTCCATCGCTCTAAAAGAAGATATTGACTGACTATCCTCAACTTGTGTTGTTGTTCTTTGTCATTCACTTATCTACTTCATACACAATAGGCGGTATACATCTGTAATCACATCCATCTTTACAGCACTTCAGTGTTATTCCAGGGTGCAACTCGCTGCATTTCTGGTCTTCATTACATTCATCATCTGGCTCTGGTGGACATTCAGCAGGCGTAGGAAATTTTGGGCATTCGTATATTTTAAATTTTGGTGATGCTGTTACGTTACTCTCAGGTTTATCTGTTTTGGTATCTATTACAGGAAGTGAAGGGACACATCTGTAATCACATCCATCCTTACAGCACATCAGTCCTAATCCAGGGTGCAACTCACTGCACTTCTGGTCTTCATTACATTCATCATCTGGCTCTAGTGGACATTCTTCAGGCGTAGGAAAAATTGGGCATTCGTATATTCTAGTTTTTGATGAAGGTGTCATCTGTTGTGTGACGGTAGTCTCAGGGTTAGTTGCGACTGATTTTGTTGTTGGTGAAGATGAAGATGCTGTAAGTTGTTTTTCAATACTCGTAGGTTTGGTGACTGGTTTTGTTGTTGCAGAAAGTGTTGTCTGTTGTTTGGCTTTACTCCCTGATTTATCTGTTTTCGTATCTATTACAGGAAGAGGAGGAACGCATCTGTAATCACATCCATCCTTACAGCATTTGAATCCTAATCCAGGGTGCAACTCACTGCATTTCTGGTCGTCATTACATTCATCATCTGACTCTAGTGGACATTCATCAGGAAGAGGGAAGATTGGGCATTGCAATATTTTAGATTTTGGTGATGCTGTTACGTTACTCTCAGGTTTGTCTGTTTTTGTATCTATAACAAGAAGGGGAGGAACACATCTGAGATCACATCCATCTATACAGCACATCAGTCCTAATCCAGGGTGCAACTCGCTGCATTTTCGGTCATCATTACATTCATTGTCTGGTTCTGGTGGACATTCAGCAGGCGTAGGAAAATTTGGGCATTGGTATATTCTAGTTTTTGATGAAGATGTCGTCTGTTGTGTGACGGTAGTCTCAGGGTTGGTGGTGACTGGTTTTGTTGTTGGTGAAGATGTTGTATGTTGTTTTTCAATATTCGTAGGTTTTGTAACTGGTTTTGCTGTTGCAGAAAGTGTTGTCTGTTGTTTGGCTTTACTCCCAGATTTAGTTGTTTTCGTATCTATTACAGGAAGAGGAGGAACGCATCTGAAATCACATCCATCCTTGCAGCATTTTAGTTCTAGTCCAGGGTAAAGTTCACGGCATCTTGTGTCGTCATGGCATTCATCGTCTGCTGGTCGTTGACATTCAGCAATTTCAGATGAGTTAGGACATGTACCCTGTACATCATATGTCTGGGTATTTGATCCCATGATAGGAGGAACGCACCTAAAATCGCATCCGTCACTACAGCATTTCAAGCTTCGTCCAGGGTATTTGGCATCACAACTGGCATCGTTTTGGCATTCTTGGTCTGGTCCTGGAGGAAACTCGATCGAGGGAGGATTGGTGGGGCATTTTGCAACGAGGTTTGTGCCATTTATCTTTTCTGTTGACGTTGGTTTTATTTTAACTACAGAAGTGCCAAGGGTCACGCATCTCCTTCCACAATCATCGCAGCACGTCAAACCTTTACCGGGATAACGTGCTTCACAATCCTGATCATCACTGCAAGAATGACTTACTTCTGGTGAACATTTTAAAGAAAGACTTGGTGGACACGTTTTTGTGGCAAGTGAAGCACAATGAATCCTTTCAAGGTCCAGATGCACCAGCAGAAAGACCAGCCAAATAATTGTGTATTGAATGCTAGACATCAGCATAATTTCTGAATCTAGTTTGAAATTTATATATATAAAATATAATTAGAAAAAAAAAATTTTTTTTCTCCGCAAATGGACGACCATAGAATTGTGTGATCCTAGGGAAGTTATCAAATTAGGAAAAGTCATTCATTAGGTATGCCTGAGTTGGACACTTGGAAAGTCCTTCTATACAGCCCCATTTCTACTTCAAATCTGTGATTGGTAATTCTAATAAGTTTCGTAACCGCCACTGTATTTCTAACGTTGGTGACATGACTACATAGGTATTCAAAATTCAAAATTCAAAATTGTAGTCTGTTTTAAACAGGCGAAACACTTTAGGTTTGTTTTTCCCGGTCAATTTTGAGTCTCCACGTCGATTATTCTCTAATGTACTAGCTTTTGATATTGTTCTATTACAGAAACAAAGAAAATAAAAAGAAAGAAAGAAAGAAAAGAAAGAAAGAAAAGAAAGAAAGAAAAGAAAGAAAGAAAAGAAAAAACATGGACTAAAACGAACTGCAGAAACTGGTAGTTAGCGCATGCAAACATTGAAAACATTGAAAACATTGAACATTGAAAACATTGAACATTGAAAACATTGAACATTGAAAACATTGAACATTGAAAACATTGAAAACATTGAACATTGAAAACATTGAAGCTTAAAATGAAAAATATAAGATATTACCTTCAGTTTTGTAAGTCCAACCCTTAGCACAGTCGCAAGCAAGTACTGCGATCGATGGCTCCTAATGTCTCAGTAAAGTAATATGTCTGAGCATATATGCTCGGATAGTTTCACCAAGCATAATCGCGTTTCCGGATATTCTCTCTTTTAGTAATCTTTGCCAGGTCAATTTGTTGGTTTATCTATCAATTTTCGGCTTGGCCTTTAGCATTAACCCGAAAGTTTGTTAAACATTCAAACGGAAAACCGAAATCCATTCTTAACTAATATAAACGTTCATCTATTCAATTATTTTTTCTTTTTGGGCAATTATGAAACTAGTGACGAAATGAATAACACATAGTTATTACACGATGCTCTGCCCATTGAAGCTCAGCTTAGGGATATAGGAAGTACGTACGACAGGAAGACTCTAGCATATCAAACAATGAGTGTCGTATTTCCCTGTGTCTGTTGTCTGCGAGGCAGACCCACGCGTTAACATCGTCTCCGTATCCTTCCTCGATTTTCCAAAGGTTTTCTTTTTTGACTTGTTTTTTATTTCTTTTCTTTTCTTCTCCAAAAATGTTCACATCGAATTCGTTATATAACGACGGCCAGCTTTTTGTTTGCCGCTTTTCCGCACAATTCAAATACGGAATTGATCATACCATATATGGAGTGAGATTTCTTTACTTCAACTTCGACACTAACGTAAGTAAAGCTTGATATGACCCGCGTCAGATGATGGATTTCTATAAACATAGTCGGAAAATCCACAGCGAGGTCAGGTACCAGCTTCTATTTAAGTATTACAATGTAAATTTAACGTTTATATATATATATATATATATAGCATTAAACAAAGATTTTATATCATGATAACAACAATAATTTCTCTACTAAACTATGACTTCAGAGTCACATAGTTTTATCGTTTTTTTTTTTCTTCCGAGAGTCTATACTTTTAAACATGTACATTCTCAGTATTCAGAACTACAGGGAAAGGTTTGACAAATCTCTGATCCTCAAGCAATCCCAACACATTCTTAACTACCCCCCCCCCCCCTCCCCTATGTCTCCTCTATATGTCAACTAACACACTATAGTTTTCCTATTCTCCCTTTGTTAATTTGAGCTATCTCGTCTTTATTTTCTTTTTTTCCGTACGCATAGCATGATGGCGTTTTATACCTACACTCATACCACAATCCTTTTCGGTACCTTTTTTCGTTTTGCTTACGTTCACTATTGTCTTGGTATTCTCAAAGGAGTACTAGTTTTAGCATTTGGACAAAGAAAGAGCTTTGAAAGGGATTGTGGTAGTTTAGGTATGAAACGTACAGTATAGTGATACCACGGACCGCAAATCCGCGCGTGTTGCAACGTTGCATGCAACAAATCTGAGATCGCGCTCTATTTTTGCAACATTGCGCGCAACAAATTTCATCGTGTGAACATGGCTGGAACATTGCGTGCAACATTTTGACACGTACATTTCCAGCCAATCAGCTTGCACCAAATCTATAACCGCTGAACCAAATTCCTTAGCATAGCAGGCTGACACAAGCGTTGTTGCGTGATTTTTTTGCAACGTGTGTCACCCCGATTCCAGTTTGTTGCATGCAATGCTGCGTCTGACGTGTGCACGTGTTGCCAAACTTTAATAAGGCTGTAGTAGTTCTACCACCACGCCATCCCGACTCTCCACTAAAATAATCATAATGGGCTGGCTACTGCTTTCGTATAACACGAATAAAATATTGAAAATATTTTCCGAAGAGAAATACATGATTAATTGAAAATAGAAAGTTGAAAATATGTTTCTTGTTTTTCTTGTTTTGAATCTCAATTATAGGTATTAAAATCATAGAAAAAGAGTGTACATTTTCCAAGTTTTAAGTTTTTTAAAAAACAAGAAAGACATTAAAAAAAACATGAAAATATAGAAACTAAGCATAACAACTCGCAAATGAAATTTTCTATAAATCCTATTAAAATATACATGGACCTCATATGGACTTGACTAAATTATAATCAAAATGTAACTTATTAATAAAACTATTTGAAAGTGCTCGGTACTTAATTTAGACTTATGGCTGGTGTAATTTCTAAATCACTGCTGTATTACAGCGTGGGACAATCACAACGGAGCTAGGCTCCAAACTAAGTGAAAGCCCATAGATCTAATTAGAATTTAGTAGTTGATTTTTGAGGAGGGAGGAAAACCGTTGGTTAGATGGAAGAACAATAAAACCCCTTGTACGTTTTGGTAATAGGCCTTTTGCAATAGATTTTTCCCCTTATAAGATACTTTCGAGTTCAAGATACAAAGTTTGATTGCCATCCAGCATCCATCCCCAAGGGACCTTGAGCTGATGTCATGTGATGGTGTAAAACATCTCCTTTGATGTTCCTCTGCCATACTGAATACGAGACGAATAGTTAGCTGTTTCTCATTCTGTGATTTTTAAGACATCACAGTGCCTTCTATCGTCTTGGAGGATGTTATAAAGTGCTTTCTGTTTTCCTTTTCAACTTTTCTGTTCAGGTTAGCCTGTTTGTAAACATGACTCACCCGTGTCTCGTTTTGATGTTAGTTATCATAATTTATTCAATATTGTAGAGTAACTGTTAAGGAAACTATAATACAGTGTATAATAATATTTCTTTCTTCTGTCGTCATCGATCTTGTACGTCAACAAGACCATGTATTAGCACTGATCCTACAATCATTTTGTAACCAGACAGGAAATTAATATCTCTGAATAACGCACTTTTTAGTAGCAGTCAAATTTTGGACTGCTTCTAAGGGACGGACCATTAGATAATTTAGGAGGAGGGGGGAAAGGTTGCGCAAATCCTCCAAAAAATTACAAAAGCACGTTATCTATATAAAAGAAAAGATCGCGCCGTTTTTTTTTTTAGGGGGAAAAAAAAAAAAATCAAGGAAAAATACACAAAAACATTGCGTGCACTAGGCAGTGGTTGTTACGAATAATTAATTATCGTGAAGACAAATTTCTCCCAGTTATCTGAATGGTCCACCCTAATAAACTGAGTGCGTTACGTTAATCTTAATACGCTATCTGGTTACAGGATGATTGTGACTTATTTGATCCTGCTATACTACTCTTCACCCAATAAAGGCACAGGCAACCCATATCAAAAATAACATTGTTATCGACAGTCTACTCACGCTAGCTCCGGACTGGAGCCGGGTTTCCTGCGGTTTACCTTGTTTCTCTACATTTTGTTTAATTATTGTTTTTGTTTTTTTGTTTTTTTCCCAAAAAGGGTGATATGTACTTGGTAATGTTCACCCATCAAAGTTTACGTACTGCTGTTATTTTCGAGATAAACTAAACAAACAGTTAGGATCGCAGTTAGGATCGCAGTTAGGATCGCAGTTAGGATCGCAGTTAGGATCGCAGTCAGGATCGCAGTCAGGATCGCAGTTAGGATCGCAATCAGGACCGCAGTTAGGATCCAAGTTTGGATCCCGATCGGAATCGCAATTTGGATAGCTTATTTCATAAAATATTTGAACATTTTAAATTTGATTTTCAAATTACACTCAAAAGGACCTCAAACTTTACACTACATTATCTACGGGATTTGCGATCAGATTATTAAACAATTGCAATGTAGAGATTGACAAACTCCCCAGAAAGCAAACCGCTAAGGAATTTACCGGGCAAATGAATTTAAAGTCGAGAGATTTTGATTTATTGTGAAAACGCAGAGCAAATAACCAAGTCATTACTGTAGATGTTTTTTTTACCTTAAAATAATGGCGGGATTCAAAGACCGTGCAGACTACATTTGATGAATCAGTATTACTGATTCATCAAATGTAAAAATAAATTAATAAACAAACTGGGACAAAACGAACGAGGACCTAACAACCAAGATTGCTATTACCTGAAGAAGCCATGCTGCGGCGACGGGAGATGCAGTCCACGAGGCTGACGGGCGCAGTGTTGGTCATCCTGTGTTCACGTTATTGGCTGTATGGTTTCCCTGTGTTACAGTAAAATTACTTGGAAATCTCAGTTCGAATTCAGCAAAATATAGTCGGCAAAATCAAAAGTAAGTGCTGAATCCATTTATACTTCTGCCAGATAAAATTTTTGATGATCCTGGCAAGCGATCCTAACTGCGATCCTAACTGTAAAAATAGCTAAGCTCGTTATTTTCTTTTGTTCACGTACTTTTTCTTGTGCTGGTCTCTTCCAGGGCCGTAACTATGGGGGGAACACAAGTTGCACGTACACCCCCCCCACAAAAGCTTAAGGTCCGCTCATCCGTCTCCTTTTTTTGGTTACCTTTTTTATTTTAAATTAAATTTTATTTTTTGGTTCTGCTTTCTTTTGGTTATGGAAAATGTTTTGTCCAAAATGGCTTTCATTTTGTACATTAGTAGCACGAGCACTGTCTTTCGAAACTTTTAATCTACGTACAACTTCGTTTTATAGTCGAACTAAAGCGAATTTCCTCGAGATTTGTCCCCACTTTTTACAGTCATTTATTCGACTCCCACTTCCTTCACTTTATACATCATTTAAATTTTACTCCAAAAGATAAGATTAGCTCTACTAGTTACTTAATAATGATAATTTTATAATCATAGTTATCATTTTGATAATTATCATAATTACCATTTTTAATATATGCTCTCTATAAATAGCTACTCAATCGCTACATTCTTGCAATTTAATTTATATGATTATTGTTAATCTATATCAAAATATGTCTAAGAATATTTTCCTTTGTGCTTCTGTTGTTCATTGTAATTACCATAATTTACATTAATTTTACTTTAGCTATACATAGGCAGCCCAAAAATATAAACCTTCGTTTTCTCTTTTGAGCTGCCTACTATTCTTGAGAAAGATATTTTACACAAAATTCATATCCATTGTATTACAAATGTATTGTTATTAGTATCTTTTATATTCCTCTTTATACTCAATTTTCTCAATATGTAATCTCTTGGATGGAATGATTGATTGATTGATTGATTGATTGATTGACTGATTGATTGACTGATTGAATATGCTGTTCTATACTACCACTTTAAACTCTTTAACCCGGCCCGTAGACTGATAAATGCGGTCGTAGACTGTCTATTTTTTTTCTTTTCTAAGCAAATTAAATCTACAGCAACCTATTAATCAACGTTTTTATCAATGTTTATAGTTTATTCGTTTAAAACGTAAAACAGCCGTTTTTAGCAGCATTGATAGAATTGAATAAACAGAGAAAACTTTACGCTGCACCGTGTAAACAAGGAGTCATATGACCACGTTTTCATTGCTTCCCTCTATTTCAATTCACTTTTTGCAAATTACTTTCTCACTGAAGACTGAAAATAGCTAGCTTTCCTCCATTTTTGCAAAAGTAAATCAGCTGCAAGTATATGCAATTCCAAGTGTAAATGCTGAGGCTACTCACGCTGATGCTAATTAGTGTGTAAYACTATTAGTGCCTAAGCCGCTAAATCGGAAAAATCTTCTCGTGGATATCAAAAGCTAAATTTATGCACCAGCTTAGGCGTGACACTGTGTTGCAGTCAGCAATTGAGATCTTGGCGTGTATGAGACAGATCATCGTGGCAAGCTGTCGCCATGACTCCCGAGAAGACTCGACATGATGATGTGAAAGTTATCGAGCTCTGTCAATACATAATGTTCACACATCAAAGTTTGAGTACTGCTGTTATTTTCTTTTGTTGACGTACTTTTTCTTGTGCTGGTCTCTTCGCTGTTCTTTCTCTTGTTGTCTTTGCTCTCTTTTCTGTTTCTGTTCTTTTTTCTTCTCTTTACGGAAGGTTACGATAGCAAGTTTATCTTGTATATCAGCAACCAGTCGACTAGTCTCTCCACCAAGACCATTTTTTATCATTACCAGTGTCTTTTCAAGATATATTTTGGCCTCTTTGTACCGCTTCAGTTCAAGGTTACTGATTCCTAGGCAGTAGACAGTATTTGCTAGTAGCGGATATTCTCCTTCAGGAAAACTACTTGCAATAGCGTAAGACTTCTCTAAGAACACTACTGCTTGTTCGTACTGTTTACGCTCTACGTGACTGTCTCCTAAGCTATGTAGAATAGTTGCATTCTTTGTCTGTTCCTTAGCATTGTCACTATCTTTAATGGATAGTGCCCTCTCATAATGCGTCGCACCCTTTTCATACTGTTTCAGGTGAAAAAGAGTTTTCCCCAACTTTAGAAGAGTATTGGCTACTTTTGGATGCTGTTTACCATAGTAACTCTCGTAGATGGTCAGTGCTCTCTCGAAATACGTCCTACATTCCTCATACTGTTTCAAGTTTAAAACAGTTTCCCCCACTTCACAAAGAGAATCAGCTACTTCTGRATGCTGCTTACCATAGTAACTCTCATTGWTAGAAACTGCCTTCTTAAAATACGCTTCAGCTTCTTCGTAATTTTGCATACGGATGCTATTGTTTCCTAGTGTCAGGAGAGTGTCCRCCTGTTCAGGATGTTGTTTGTCAYAAACACTTTCTATTATACTCAGAGCTCTCTTTAGACAGGCGTTGGCTTCTTCATACTTCCCAAGCAAAGAGAGAGCTTCTCCCCTGTTTGATAACATTGTTCCCAACTCCGRATGAGAAGGACAAATCTTTTCCTTTATARCCACTGCCCTCTGATAGTACTCATCAGCTTTGGCGTATCGTCCAAACTTACATTCCTGCWTTCCCARGTTATTGAACGTAATTGCAAGCGTTTCTGGAGGTAAGTTGTTACATCTTTCTTGTAYTGCTAATGCTTTATCCAAGTACTTCTTAGACTCTTGGTGCTGTTGCATCTGGTATARCRTTGTGCTCAAGTKGKTATAAAGTKTAACAGCATCATTTGGGTCCCTCTCTTCAAATGAACATTCTTGTCTTTCTAATACTCCTTCCAAAAGAATGTTGGCTTCTTTGTATTGTTTCAGAGCGATAAGACTGTATGCAAGGTTATTCATGGTTTCGACTAAAGACGGATGACTTACGTCATCACTATGCACGTTTTGACTTATAGCGAGTGCCCTTTCAAAATAAAATTTAGATTCTTCGTATTTTCCAAATGTATGAAGACACTTTCCAATTCGATTGAGGGTGGTAGCCTGTCCAGGGCGTTTATCTTCTCCATATTTTTTCTTTTCGATATCCAGGACTCTTTCAAAACAGCTTAGAGCAGCTTTGAATTCCCCTTGTGCAGAATAAGTGTCTCCTAAGTTTCTTAATAAGAAAGCCAAAGCTGGATGTTTCYCATCATAAATGCCTTCCGTGCTTTYAATGGCTCTCTCCAAATATCGTCTGGACTCTTCTAGTTGACCAAGTTCTCGCAGCAGGCGGCCCATGTTACCTTGGGTAAWATTCAATTCCGWATGCCTTTCCCTTGCATGCTGAGATTCTTCAATAGCTAATGCCTTTTCATAACAAAGTTTTGCTTGTTCGAGGTTACCCATACGGTAAAAAATAGATCCTTGAATACTTAACGTTCTAGCCCATAGTGGATGTTCCTCTCCATACATTCGTTTTTGAATAGACAACGCCCTTTCTACATACTTCATAGCTTCGTCTTGCCGTCTCAATTCAAGAAGCGTTTTGCCTATGTTATTTAGAGTAGCAATTATTGTAAAGTGACAATCTCCAGAAGAATTCTCTTCTTTATACAACGCCTTCCTAAGATATTTTTCTGCTTCTTTGTAGTTTCCAAGGTAAAAAAGGTTATCCCCTATGTCATTTAGCAGAATAGTAAGACGGGGATCCTTCTCATCACAGAAATGCTCAACGATTATAAGTGAAATTCTAAAACAAATGCCTGCAGCCTCATATCTTCCATGAATATTACAGATCATTCGGATATTCCTTAAACAATATGACTCGTCAACATGCTTTTGGTTGGAGTAATTTAGCACGTCATTGCGTAGGAATTCCATGTTGCTCTGGATTACTAAAGATAGTGCTGTCAAATGTTCCACCAGCCTCCTGGTGGAAACAACATCAGGTATGTAATCGAGATCTAATTCGTTAATCCAGGAAAATGCTAAAATTACATTCCATATAATATCGACGTTCAATTTCTTATCCTTATTTAGCATTACTACTTGCAGACTATGGTGCACAACTTGGTGTACACGAACCTCTTCCAAGTCATCTTTAGAGGACAGTACAAGTGAGGAGGAACGAATAGTCGATGCCACAAGATCTTCGTCTTCATCCGACAAACAGTTCATCACATACTGGACAACATACTGGAGGGGTATCGGCTCAGGTGCGATGACAGATAGGAACTCAAAAGCATGTCTCATGACTTTGTCTTCACTTACTTCTTTATCTACGGCCATTCTTACCGCCGCTGTCATTGTCTGAGGATATGTTAAGCTTCTCTTTTGGTATTCCTTCTCTGTTGCCTCTCGCTTGCCGTCTTCGAGCTTTTGCAGGTATTTAGTCCAGTCGGTACTTTTAATATGCTTCATGTAAACAGCAGCACATGCCAAAGCCAACGGCTGGAAATCTAGAGCCTTGGCTATTTGAAGGGGGATATCGTTATGACAAGAAATCCCAGAAATATCAGACAGTGCCTTGACAGCATCATCACTATTCATGCCTTTCTTTAAAGGTAAATGGTAAGTGTTTGGATCAGAAGGAATGCATGGAAGAGCTGTCTTGGGTGGTGACTAGGATCTGTCCTACACTACTTGTCTTCTCGCCTGCTCGAGGCCAATACTTGGAAACTGACTTGAGATCTGAAACGTTATCTACAACAATAAGCCAGGATGAATACTTTCGTAATTTTGGCACGATGCGACATTTGAGGTCACTAAGTTTTTCTTCTGACGAACGACCTTCAGATGTCTTAATTTTCGTAACGAAATCTTTATCGCATTTAACTCTATCTGCAAATTCCACATACGACTGCAAAAGCGTATCAATGGTGGATGCATTCACCGTCATCAAAAAATTCCTTTCCGTGCTCTTTTCATCGAAGAATCGTTCTCCAATTTGCCTGGCCACTTCACTTTTCCCACAGCCTGGGTTTCCTGACAGATATACTACAGTTACCTCGTTGTTCTTCGCGTTCCTTAGACGCTCCATTTCTTCATTGATTTGGTCTACTTCATTTAGTCGACTGACAGTTTCATGGGATGGTTTGGCTGGCAAAACACAAAAGGGTCGTGGTTCCTCATTACGCTTCTTTTCCTTTTCAAACTGTTTCTTAATGTCTTCCATTTCCTCTGTTGGAAAGCTTGTCTCGTTCTTGATTTCCTCGATATCAGTTGTATCGAGTTTCAGGTCTGTAAATGAAGTGATGACTTTGTCGATGGACGTCTTGAAATCGGCTTCCTTGAGTTTTCCAACCTTTGTGTGAGCGAATACTTCGTTGCGAAACTTCCTCAACTCGTCAACACTTTTCTTAACAGTAGCATTTAAAGTTGGTTTAATGCTATTCGAGTAAAGAATGCCATAGAACAGGCAAGTGCAATCCCATTCATTTATATTTCCATTTTTCATGATAGAAAGTTCTCTTGATTTAATTTTTTTATTCTTTGGAGACTCCATTCCGTAGAAATCCATGCCATTGTTAGCCGTATCTTGCCACAGACCGTGCGTAGACTGGTAACGAGTGTCCCACTCTTGTTTGAACACTCTTCGTATTCCATCAGGTATGTGTGTGGTGACTTTACAAACCCGGAAGTAGTTTAGTTCTTCTTCCCTGTATTTCATTGGTGCCATCTGCTATGAAGAATTGAACTGTCACTTGCAGCAGTCGATAGTATTCATCAAGGCACCCAACATATTGAAATATTTTAAAAAATGTATGAGAGCGTTTTCCAAATACTACGCGATGAATATTTT